AAGTACATTCTAATGCCACAGTGCCTGGCTCATAGTAAGTGCTCAATAAATGCTAGCTATGATTGCCATTCTTTTAACTACTAATAACAAGCAAGTCCCTTAGAATGCCAAACACACACCTTTGGCCAGAGCTACATTTCCTCCGGTGAGAGGTTTAAGGGCTGCCAGAGCTGATGCCTAAGGCCCAGCCAGCTAGACTTTTATGGTGGAGATGGACATAGAGCTAAATGGAAGAGGAAGTGAAGATCTGGACTAGACAGTGGTTCATGTAGCTGCACGTTAGGACCACGTGGGGGCTCTTCTAAACAACCTTGTTCTGGCCCCATCCCAGATTCATTAAATCTGAATCTCTGGCAAGTAGGACCCTGCACTGGTACTTTTTTCTTTAAGTGAGGCATAATTTACATACAATAAAATGAACAAATCTTGAGTGCCCCCTGAGGTTTGACGGTCAAGATGTTGAACACTCGTATTACCTGGTGCCCTTTCCATCAATTCCTCTTCCTCTCCCACCATCATTTTCTGAATTCTATCGCCATTGACTAGTTTGGTCTGTCGTAGAATTCATATAAATGGGATCATACAGTATGTATTTTCTTGTGTGTGCATCTGACTTATTTTGCTTAATGTTTCTGGAATTCTTCCCTGTTCTTTTGCAAGTATCAGTTCCTTTTTATTGCTGAGTGGTTTTGATGAACCGATTCTGGTTGAGGGACTGCCTGATTAGAGTATCATTCTTTGCTCAAGTAAACTCTGGTAAATATAATTTTGTCTAAAGTTCTTCTTTTAACAATTAAATAAGGTACATTCTAATACCATAGTGCCCGGCACATAGTAAGTGCTCAATAAATGCTAGCTATGATTGCCATTCCTTTTTTTTTGTTTGTTTTGTTTAAAGACAGGGTCTTGCTCAGTTGCCCAGGCTGGAGTGCAGTCCTGTTGCCCAGGCTGGAGTGCAGTCGCATGATCACAACTCACTGTAGCCTCTTACACTCCCAGACTCAGGCAATTCTTCTGCCTCAGCCTTCTGAGTAGCTGGGAGTACAGGTGTGTACCACCACATCTGGTCAATTTTTGTATTTTTTTATAGATACAGGGTTTTGTCGTGTTGCCCAAGCTGGTCTCAAACTCCTGAGCTCAAGTGATCTACCCACTTGACCTTCCAAAGTTGGAATTGCAGGTGTAAACCACCATGCCCCGCTGATTGCCATTCTTTTAATTAGCAGTAATGAGCAAGATTCCTAGAATGCCAAACACACACCTTTGAGTTGCTTTAGGCTTTTTGGCTATTATAAATAAAATTGCTATGAACATTCATGTACAAATCTTTATGTTTTTCTTGCTCTTGTGTAGTAGCTAGGAGTGGACCTGGTAAAATATTTAGAAATGAAATTACTGGGTCATAAGGTAGATATGTATGTTTAAATTTATAAGCACTACTGACAGGTCCTCCGAAGCAGTGGTACCATTTTATACTCCCATCAGCAGCTTAGAATAATTCTAGTTGCTGTCTACATATTCACCAACACTTGGTATTGTCAGTCTTTCTAATTTTAGCCTTTCTAATGGTATTTTATTATGGATTTAATTAGCATTTCTCTGAGGACTAATTATGTTGGGTAGCTTTTCAGGTGTTTGGTGACCATTTATATTTGTTTTTTGGTCATTTTAAAAATTTTTAAATTGTTAATTTATAAGAATTCTTTTTATATCAAGATGATCTTTTCATTAGGTGTTTTTCCTTTAAAAAAAAAAACAGCTTTATTGAGACATAATTCACATATCATACAATTTAACCACTTAAAAGTTAATTGTTTTGAATATATTTCACAGAATTGTGCAATTACTACTACAATCAATTTTAGAACGTTTTCATCACCCCAAAAGAAACCACATACCCATTAGCAGGCACTCATCTTTCCCTCCTATCTACCTAACCCCTAACCCTGCACAACCACTAATCTTCTTTCCATCTCTCTAGATTTGCTTATTCTGGAAGTGTACTGTAAATAGAATCGTGCTATACGTCGTCTTCTGTGAGTGTCCTCTTTCGTTTAGTACCATGTTTTCAAGCGTCATTCGTGTTGTAGCACACATAGATCAGTACTTATTCCCTTTTTATTTGCCAAGTAAGATTCCAGTGTATGGATACACCACATTTTATTTATACTTTTATCAACTGATGGACATTGGGTTGTTTCTACTTTTTGGCTATTAGGAATAGTACTGGTCTGAACATTTGTGCACGTTTGTGTGTGTGTGTCTGTATGTGGGCGTATGTTTTCATTCTCTTAGGAGTGGAATGGATGGGTTATATGGTAACTGTCTGTATGTGGGCGTATGTTTTCATTCTCTTAGGAGTGGAATGGATGGGTTATATGGTAACTATATCTAACCTTTTGAGGAACTTCCAGATTATTTTCCAAAGTGATTGTATCATTTTTATATTCTCACTAGCTATGTACAGGGTCAGAATCTTTTAAAAATGTAGGTCCAGCCGGGCGCGGTGGCTCACGCCTATAATCCCAGCACTTTGGGAGGCCGAGGCGGGTGGATCACGAGGTCAAGAGATCAAGACCATCCTGGTCAACACGGTGAAACCCCGTCTCTACTAAAAATACAAAAAATCAGCTGGGCATGGTGGCGCACGCCTGTAATCCCAGCTACTCAGGAGGCTGAGGCAGGAGAATTGCCTGGACCCAGGAGGCGGAGGTTGCGGTGAGCCGAGATCGTGCCATTGCACTCCAGCCTGGGTAACAAGAGCGAAACTCCGTCTCAAA